CAAGTCTTATGCAACTTTTGTCACATTTATCTGTGGATACTGCAGAGATTTTGGTGCTATTATAAATGCTTTTAATTTGAGCTACATTTCTAATTATTTGTGGTGTGGGTGTAGAGAAAAATAAGTTTTTTTTTTTTTTAAATTAAAAAAAAAAAAACAGGGTCTCGCTGTTGCCCAAGCTGGAGTGCAGTGGTGCCATCTTGGCTCACTGTAGCCTTGATCTCCTGGGCTCAAGGGATCCTGCCACTTCAGCCTCCTGAGTAGGTGGGACCACAGGTGCACGTCACCACACCTGGCTAATTATTTTATTTTTTGTAGAGTCAGTATCTTGCTATGTTGCTCAGGATGGTCACCAATTCCTGGGCTCAAGTGATCTTTCCACCTTAGCCTCACAAAATGTTGAAATCACAGGCGTGAGCCACCGTGCTCTGTTTAAATACAAAAAACAAAAGCAAATAACTTCTGTACTGATCCTACACAGTTAGCCCCTTGCTGTCAGTTCTTTTATATTTCCTACGTAGACAATTAGATCACCTGTAAAACTGAGCTTTAGTTCCTCTTTTCTACTCCTTTAGCCTAGGAATTACAATTTTTAAGGTTGAATGTAAAATACTTTTTTTTTTTGAATCTACTGATCCATGATCTACTGAACCATGATCGTATGACTCTTTTTAATATATTAATGTAGCAACTAACATAAGTGGATTTTCTAGATGGGTGCGGGGGCTCACACCTGTAATTCTGGCACTTTGGGAGGCTGAGGTGGGCAGATCACTTGAGGCCAGGAGTTCGAGAACAGCCTGGGCAATGTGGCGAAATCCCGTCTCTACAAAAAGAAGAAGAAAAAAAATTAGCCAGGCATGGTGGCACGTGCCTATAGTCCCAGCTACTTGGAGGGCTGAGGTGGGAGGACTGCTGGAGCCTGGGGAGGTCAAGGCTGCAGTGAACAGTGATTGTGTCATGGCACTCAAGCCTAGGTGACAGTGTGAGACCCTGTCAGAAGGGAGGGAGGAAGG